TCATTGTTGCACCATGTGCTAACTAATTTGGATGTAAATTATAATAAATAAATAAATTATAGAAAGTAAAAAAAAATAAATAAACCTTAAAAAAAAAAAAGAGAGAGACCCAGCTCTCTACTATCAACTCAACATTGGCAATGTAGGTCCAGCTTACACCCTTCCAATAAATTAACACTGTTCCTTTAAAAAAATAATAATAATAATAATAAAATAAATACAGTTACTAAATTGTTACCATTAGCAAAATACTATATATCTTTTTCTCAAGGAAAGCACCTTTGACTACTTCCTTAATTAGTACCAGTGCCACAGAAATTGTATAATACTGGTTTTGAAACCTAGCAGAGAATTTTGTGCCAAGTTGAATAATTCAAGCTTCTACAAGGTTTTATTCAAACAGTATTGGAAATCCCCATTTAATTGGGTTTACATGTATATAAAAAGTAGCTCAAATTTTTAAGGTTTCATTTTGTTATAATTCATTCCACGTTTATAACACTAGAAGTACATTTGTTAATAGGAGAACATGATGGGTTACATAATTTTAGTGGGAAGTTACTATGCTCTTCTCTTAAGGCCTTTATGCAGTCTGCCTCCAAAAAGGTTACCATAAACATAATTAAGAAGTAATCAAGAGCTTATAAACAAAGGGGAAGAAATTATCCTGCTTAGCCACATTACATAGTAAAAACAGAACACTGAGTTTATACTTTACCTGCAGGTTTAAGGTCTCCTATTCGAATAATGTGTGGCCAATGCTGGAGTGTTTTTGCAAAAAAAGGGTTGGTTACTCCTAATATGACTGAGGGCCTACATAAAAACAAAACAGAAACAAAGTGAGAAAAAGACAAATGCTCCATCAGTGAAGAATAATTTATAATTTCTTTAGATTGAACAACAGATTATATTTTCCTTCACTCCATGCATTACATAACAACTAGATGCCAGGCACCATGTTTAGCCCTAGACAAGTAAAGATGGAAAGACATGGTCTTCCTAAAAGCATACAGGAAGAAACGTATGCATACCCCATCACAATGCCACAGATTAGAAAATGGTGATGGGGGTATCAAACATACAATAATTACAAAGGAGAAACTGTATCTATCAACAAGATTAAAAGACAGCTTCACTAAAGAGATGACATTTGCACAAAGATATGAAAGATGCACAGAAGTTCTTTCCCAAGTGGATAAGGGAGGTAAAGGTGATGCAGGAGAATAACTAATATGTGCAAAGCAATGAAATGAGATGGTGGAGTGCCTGAAGAACTACAAATAGCTCAGTATTTCTACAGCACAAAGCAAGAATGATGAGTGAGTTAGAAATGAAGGTAGATGGCTGGATGCTGGCCAGATTATTAAGTACCAAGTTAATATGCTAAGAAGTTTAGAAATCTTGTAGGCAAACAAAAGCTAATACAGAACCAAGCAGAAGGATGCCACATGAATGAAAATGTAGGAAGATCACACTAGGAAATCTGGAAGGTGTCCTACAAAGACGGTAAGAGATTTAGGAAAAGCAACAGCAGACATGACAAAGACTGGAGACAGTTAGGCTGAGAACAGACTTTTGGAAGAAGATAACAAATGTTATTATGAGAGATATTTTATGGTGTTAAATTGACAGAATTTGGTAAAATTTGATGTGGGGCATATAAAGAAGGAGAAATTTATGACAATTTTACCATTCATGAAAATAGGAAGGAGCATGGGTTTAGGGAAGAAAACAAGAAGACAGAAAGAATTCAGTTTATACATGTTTAGTTTCAGTTGCCATTAATATACCTAGGTGGTAAAGTGATAAAAAACAACAACAAAACCCTGGACATATAGGTCTGCACCTTGCAAAGATCTGGGCTAGGCAGATAAATTTCAGCCATTGGTATACAAGTGTTAACAGAGTCTGTGGGTAGAGATAAGATAGCTCAGAAAGAATCATCAGTGTGAAATCAGATCCCAGAACACAGTGCTGGAGAACACCAACACTTAAGGTGCTGGCAGAGACAGAGACATCTGCACAGGGGACGGAGATGCACCACCAGGCAGACAGGTGAGAGTGGTGTCAAAGATTAAAATGCTTTCAAGTTCAACAGCTTAAATGTTATTAAGAAACGGAAGGCAGGGAAAATAGGACAATAATGTGCACACAGGGTTGGGCAGTGAGAGGGTCTTGATGACTCTGACTTCAGTGGAAGTGGAGAAATCAACCTGTGGGTGCTTGGGTGGCTCAGTCAGTTAAGTGTCTGACTCCTGGTATTGGCTCAAGTCATAATCTCACAGTTGTGAGATCGAGCCCCACATTGGCTCCACACTGACAGCACAGAGCCTGCTTGGGATTCTTTCTCTCTCCCTCTCTCTCTGTCCCTCTCCCACTCACACAAGCATGTACACTCTCTCTCAAAGTAAATACATAAACTTGAAAAATAAAAAAGAAATCAACCTGCAATGGACTGAGAAGCAACCAGAAAGCCAAGAAGTAGAGACAGTACGTGGAGATTTCTTGTTGTTGTTGTTATTCTAGAAATTTCACTATGAAAAGAAGGTAAGCAATAGAGCAGGAGCTAAGGGGGAAAGGGTAAGATAATTTTTTCCCTTTAATATATTGGGAAGAATTTTGATGTTTCCATGCCAATTCAACGAAGAAGAAGGAAAAGGAAGTTATAGAGCAACAAGAGATAACAGAAGGCAAGAAAACAGAACTCAAAGTATAATCAGATGGCTATTGATGACAATACATCCTCCACTAATAAATAAAATCATTGAAAAGAAAACTAGTTTTGACACTTGACATGTAGAAGTATTACAAGCAGTTCCTCAAACCTTCCTTTACCAAATCAAGATGCCAATAAGTTCAAAATTTAATTTTACATAATTTGGTTATATAGGAAATACTTGGTCAATAAAAATTATTTTGTTTACTCACGGGGCTTGAGTACGAGTAGTATATTCTTTGAATTCGCTATCATGAATAGTGAAGTAAGGTCGGAAGTCACTGAAGTACTTTAATGGAGAAATACAGCTGTGGAGGAAAGAAGAACATTTTAAACAAAGGACACAGAAATTAAAGGCCCTACTCAATAACTATAAAACATCAATAACACACAGTATACACACATGGGATTACTTATTTCAGTAAACAGCAAACTTATTTCAGGAAATCAGAAAGACAAATGGAAATACATAATAATATGGAATGGAGTATTGAAAGAACACGGGACTTGGGGCAGAGGATGGGTTGAAATTCTGGCATTACCATTCCCTAGTTACATGTCTTTTACTAGACACTGACCATTCATGCAAAGTTGTCAGGTACCAACTTTGCATAAGTGAATGAATGTTTCTTGTTCAATCAATCAAAGCAAAAAAACCCCTCATGGTTCCAGCCCTCCTGGAGCATGAATTACTTATCTCATCCATGAAACGGGGCTATAATGAGCACCCTTCTTATAAGAGAGGTGTTGTCTGGATCAGTGCAATGAGTGTGCAAACATAACACAGATGGAAAAATGCTGCAACTATCACCATCAGGAACCAAATATACTCACTTCACAAGTGCCAATACAGTCTCTGACGACTCTGATGGTGACGGTGCCATGACCACGAGGGGCTCCCCCAACAGGACCAGCTCCCAAAGCATCTGACTATGAAGGAAAACTGGGCAGAAACACCTAAAAGGTGTTTATATGGTAGAAGTATTATTTTCCAACCCTGTTTTTTAAGTTCTTAGATAATCATTCTAAAAACTTCATACTGATATAAATTCTTCCAGCTATTTGTACCTTGTTGTGACATACAAATTCATTTAGAATACGGTGATGCATAAGTCTCTTTAGTCCACATTAAAAAACAGATCAATTTGACTCCAAGTTTTAGAAAATGAAATGTGATATATTGACACAGAATGGCTGACAAATAATAAAAGCACATAAAATAATTATTAAATTATACCATATGGTAGATTTATTTCATCATTATTGCTTTCTTACATTTGAATTTCTGTTGTAAAATTTTGAAGAAAACAAGAAAAATCAATTTTCCAAAGGATATTTATTGGATGTAATTAATTTAAGAGCCAAGGCATTCAATGTTAAAAAATGATGGAAACAAATCACAAGGGGGAGTTCGAAGGCCAAACAACAGAATGATTTCCTGGGCAGATCCTTCCCTTACAGAAATGCTGCAGATTTTTATAGTAGCCCTGGAACTAGATGGAAGCCTATCAGAACAGAGCTCTGGCACACTACTTAGCCTCAGACATTTGGTAACTTTTACTTATTTAGTAATTTCTTCCATTAGGGTAACAACTTTTCCCACTAGATTGGAGGAAAAAATACTTATCTATTTATAAAAATCATAATCAATCTACCCAGTTAAAAACACATATACACACAAGAAACAAAGAAAGGCAGAAAGAAAGTCTCTTTTGTCCACATTAAAAACCATATCAATTTGACTGATTCCAATTTTTAGAAAATGAAATGCGACATATTGACACAGAATGACTGACAAATAATAAAAGCATATAAAGTAATTATTAAATTGTACCATATGGTAGACCTATTTCATTAATATTGCTTTCTTGCATCTGAATTTCTAGTGTAAATATTTTGAAGAAAACAAGAAAAATTAAACAAGAAGGAAAAAAGAAAAAGAAAAAAGCTTACATGCAAAAATATAAAACAGATTTGTGGAATGGAAATTAGGGAAATTTAGTTTTAACTATTCAAAGGCAAGAATACAAATGTGAAGGAAGTGCAAAAACACCCAAAGCAAAATACTAAACAGTTCAAGGATAAGACAAACAAGCTCTTCTTCCTCTTCCTTTCCTAAACAATTCAATCCTAAAACAGAACATGGTGCATGGTAGGCATCTCTGCCAGGACAGAAAGGAAGACATGATGGCTCAGAGCAGGGTGTGAGGGCTTATGTGAGATAAGGGAGACGTTCACATGGAGAAGGTGACTTGCTGTGGGGCTGCTGGAACCCAAACGTGGTGAGGAAGGTGTACATGTGTGAAGGTGATCTGGTTTGAGATGACAGGCCAAGAAGTGTGAGGGGCCTGGAGGGGCAGCCTGGTATGAAGTGTCAGAGCCAGAGTGTGTTGAAGTTGTCCACGGTGGAATGTAAGAGCAGGGGGAATAGGGTGTGTGCATGGAGAGGTGGTCTGGGATGAGGTATAGGAGCACTGTAGTTGGTAAGGAGGGCTTTCTTCTGGGGGTTGGCCTAACATCGGGAGCCAGAGCACAAGCAAGCATATGGATAGGGGGCCTAAATGTGCAATACAGAAGCCTAACTGGGGTAGGAGCATAACCACGTGGGGGGAATCTGGCATGGAGCACAGCCTGAGAAGGTTGAGGAAGGGTATTTATGAAGGGCAGGTGGGTGTAGAGTGTCAGAGCCCAAGTTGGGTAAGAAAGTCATCTGCACGGAGGAGAGGGTTTAAGCAGCGATGAGATACTGGTTACTAACAAGGAGTGATTAAATAAGTAAATAAATTAAGAATAATAGGAGGTAGTTCCTCATAAAGGGAAAAGAAATACCAATATAGAAAGAAAACTAGAGTGAACCTTGTCTTGTAGGATTGGAATTGGGGGTACTGGTGTGACTTTAGGGTTTTCAATATATACACATGTAGAAATACATATGCAAAAACGTATACGTATTATATATGAGTAGGTACATATGCATCTCTTTACAAATATATATGTATGTATGTGTGTGTGTGTGTGTGTGTGTGTATATATATATATATATATATATATATATATATATATATGTATACTCCCTAGCTCTGTCCACTGAGAGGGCCTAAAATCAGTGATATTCCAATAGCAATGAGCTCAACCAGTACCCAGATTTTGGCTTCTGAATCCTATTCTCCACTAAAAAAAGCCAAGGCTTTTTGAAGAAATGGGTGATTCCAGGGCTAAGGAAGAAAAAATACAAGAAAATCTTGGCACCCAAGAAAACATAGGTCCACGCAAAAGCTTATATACAAATGTTCGTAGTAGCATTATATGTAACAGCCAAAAAGTAGAAACCATCCAAATATCCTTCAGTGAATTAATGGATAAATAAAATGTGGTATCCACACAACAGAACATCATAAAGTGAATCAAATAATGATTCAGGCTACTGCATGGATAAACCATGGAAATGATTTGCTAAGTGTAAGCAGACACAAAAAGCCACGTATTTTAGGATTCTATTTATATATCCCCATATATAAATATGGGGCATATTTATGTATGCCCCAAAGAGGCCAATCGATGGAGATAGAAAGTAGATTAGTGGTTCCCAGAGGCTGGTAGAGGAGAGAGAATGGGGAATAACTGCCACTGGGTACAGGGTTACTTTTTGAACCCTGTTCTAGATGAAAATGTTCTAGAACTAGATAGCAGTAATGATTGCACAACTTTGTGAAATACAGTAAAAACCAGTGAATTGTATATTTTAAAAGAGCAAATACTATGGTATGTGAATTATATATCTTTTTTTAATTAAAAAAAAAAAGATAAGCTTGGCACATTTTATACTAGAAAGCAAGGAAGTGTTTCAGGGTGCCTAAGTGGCTCAGTCAGTTAAGTGTCCAGCTCTTTGTTTTGGCTCCAGTCACGGTCTCATGGTTCGTGAATTTGAGCCTACATCAGGCTCTGTGCTGACAGTGCAGAGCCTGCTTAGGATTTTCTCTCTCTCTCTCTCTCTCTCTCTCTCTCTCTCTCTCTCTGCCCTCACCCACCCCCACTCGTACTCTCTCTCTCTCTCAAAAATAAATGAATAGACTTTAAAAAAAAAAAAGGAAGGAAATGCTTAAAGAATGACAAGGATATGTAAAAAAACAAAACAAAACAAAACAGAGGCCAACTTGAAGACAAGTGTCACTGGCCAAATTGGGGACAACTGGAACACCAAATGAGAATAATGGATTTTAATAACCTATTGAATAAAACAGAAAAAAAACAACAGCCCATAAAATATACACAATGTAATGATTTAAAATATTTCTACAAATTCTTTGACACTCCTTTTAAAACATGGAAGCCTAGTGGCTCAGTTGGTTAAGTGGTTAAGCATCCAACTTCAGCTCAGGTCATGATCTTGTAGTTCATGGGTTAGAGCCCTGTGTTGGGTTCTGAGCTGACACCTCAGGGCCTGGAGCCTACTTTGGATTCTGTGTCTCCCTCTCTTTCTGCCCCTCCCCCAACCCTGCTTGGTCTCCCTCCCCACCCCCCTCAAGAATAAACATTTAAAAAACAACAACAACAACAACAACAAACCATGGGAGCCCAATCCTCCCCCTCTTAGCTGTGGGCTACGTTATTGGTTTACATGTAACAAACAGAATAAGGTAAAGCAACAATGTGTAATTTTGAAGGCTGGGTCATAAAAGACATTTTGGCTTCTGCCTTGTCTCAGATCACCTGCCCAATACTGTGAGAACATTCAACTTGCCCTATGGGCCGGTCCACATGGCTAGAAATGAGGCTCCTGCTAAAATCCACAAGAAATGGTGACCTCCAGCCAGCAGCCAAGTAAGCCTTTTAGGGAAACAGATACTCATGCCCCATTTGTCCAAATGACTAAAACCCTAGCTAGTATCTTGACTGCAACTTCATAAGAGATTTAGAGCTAGAACCATCTAGCTAAGCCATTCCCAGATTCCTAACCCTCAGAAAGTGTGTGAAGTACTATTTGTTCTCTCAAGCCTCTACATATTGGGGTAATTTATTACACAGCAATAAATAACTCATATACATAGTTTCAAAGTGCCTCCCCACAAAATACTTATTCACAAAAAGAAAACGAGTAACTACCAATCAAGAAGCTTGGAGAATACCACAAAGTAAACGTCACCAGTAATAACGCAAGCTACCTCCATGTCAAACATGCAGAGCTTGAATCTAATTTTGAGTAAATCCCAGACAGACCTAAACTCAGGGATTTCCTACAAAATAACTGTCTTGTAACCACAAGAAGCTTAGGTGTATGAAAAGAAGACTTGAAGATCTATTCCAGACTGAAAGAGAGACAGAAGAGACAGGACAAGGAAATGCAACAGAAAATTCTGAACTAGTATTGTGACAACTGGTGACATCTGAATTAAATAATATTATCAATGTTAACTTCCCAATTTTGATGGCTGCATTATATCCTTATTTGTACGAAATAGACTCTAAAGTATTCAGAGATGATGGGAACATCAGGTCTTCAAATGACTATCCACTGGTTCAAGGAAAAAAGTTTTCTATATTATACTTACTACTTTTCTGTAAATTTATGATTGTTTCAACTATCTATATGCATGTATACACATATACATTTACAAATATAAACATATATATATGTATAATTTTGAAACAATCACAAATTTACAGAAAAGTGGCAAGTGTATGTATGTGGGTAAGTATACATTTAATAGTGGGATGCCCTTAAGGCATTAAAGCTGGAAATTATGTTTTCTCACAAGTATTGTAATATATTCTCAGTAAGGGCAAAAACAGACAGCAAGTACAGTTATAAGATGAAGCATTCTATGAAATTATAGTACATTAGAAATATCTATTATATAAAGTACTTTTATTAGGGGAGATAAGTATTAAATATTCAAGGAAGAAACCTATCTCCAGCTCGAACTTTAATAAATATTGATGGTATGTGTCTAATTAACTGCAGTGTAAAATTACTAAAATGAGAGTTCTGTAGGAAAATCATAGGATATTTTTTCAGTATTATTTTTATATCTCCACTCTGGAGTGGCACGCTTTATGCTAAGCTCTACTGCTCCCCACCCCTGCCAAAAGCCATCCTCTGGCAAAAATGAGAAACTTACTCCAAATAGATAAATAAATGAATAAACAGATACATACATAAATAACTAGATAAATAAAGGTTTCAACCTTTTTCAGAAAGATATACCATGTTATTATAATCTTGAAAACTAAACTAACATCTATCAAAGAGCATCAGACACATCAGATTTTATGTAGTAATAGTAATAGACTTTTACACTCTTTGAAACACAAAAACACTCATAACTGTTATCTATCCTGCCAGTGGGGTAGAAAGCCAAGAAGGCTCATTCTCAAGATGAGGGCAAAGAGGAAGATGACAACACATCACTGATATGCCTCCTGCTGCGTGAAGAACCAACAGCAAGTATCATTAGGTAAAACGTCCTTGACTCCAGGCAAGAGAATGTCCATTTCTTTCAACAGAAAACCATCCCTCAATTCTAAGCCCAACTTAAAAACTGAATGAGAAGACTATGTACATGATTGAGAGGGCTGAAACGAAAGCCATGGTCCATGGATACGTGGTAGCTTAACAAGCCTTGACTTGCTAGAAGGAGGGGGACAAGCCCTTACACTCAACTGCATCTCTGGCACTCAGCTCCAAACATCTTTCCAGGTCTCTTTCCTTTGCTCTCAAGCTGATTGTGGGTATAAAAATATCACCTTCAATATAATGATAAACATTTAAACTCTTATTCACAGGAATAAATGTACAATGTAAGCTCTCCACAAACAAAATGAAGAGTGCCATCATGGACGAAGCACTAATCTGAACATCAGATGTTAAATGCTCGGTGCAATGCTCTCTCTGTGTGGGACTATTATTGTTCAAGTTTCCATTTTCTCACCTCCTGAGCAATAAGAATTAAAAGAACAACACACTAACTTGTCCTACTTTAAAAACAATAACATGTCATTCATAATCAGGAGAAAAGATATATGCTAATAAAAAGTGTTAGTGGTAGGAATAATTAATTGCCATGAAAGCAAAGATAACTGATAAACTGAAAGGCATTAAGACTTGCACCCAGCAGTTGAAAAGAAAACAAGTCTGGTAATCAAATTCTATATCAACTTGTGCCAGTTCTTCACTTATTCCTAAACGAATGAAGTATTAAAACTACTAACAGTATGGATCCTTCTTAGTGTATTTTTCCTGTAATAATTATTCATGTATTTGGGGGGCACTTCTCCTCTTTATTCTAAGAATGCTACAACACTTAATTTTTTAAAAGAAAATCAATTTGAGGGTGCCTGGGTAGCTCAGTTGGTTGAGAGTCCGACTTGTGAGTTCGAGCCCTGGATCCGGGTTTGCGCTGACAGTGCAGAGCCTGCTTTGGATTTTCTGTCTCCCTCTCTCTCTGCCTCTACCCCGCTTGCATGTTTTCTCTCTTTCTCTCTCAAAAATAAATAAACATTAAAAATGTTTTAAAAGAAAATCAATTTGTTTTTAAGATTTATCATTTACGGGGGTGCCTGGGTGGCTTAGTCGGTTAAGCGCCAGACGTCAGCTCAGGTCATGATCTCACGGTTTGTGAGTTCAAGCCCCGCATCGGGCTCTGTGCTGACAGCTCACAGCCTGGAGCCTGCTTCAGATTCCTTGTCTCCCTCTCTCTCTGCCCCTTCTCACTCTGTCTCTCCCTCAAAAATAAATTAAAAAAATTAAAAAAAAAAGATTTATCATTTACATACAGAAACATTTACACTTAGCAAAGATATAAAACACTTCCATCACTCCAAAAATTCCCTCATCCCCTTTTACTCAATTTCCCTCTTCCACCCTCCAGGCAACCACTGAGTTGATTTCTGTCCCTTTTCTAGAATATCTATAAATGGAGTCACTGAGTAAGTAGCTCTTTAAAATCTGGTTCCTTTTGCCAAACATAACACTTCTGAGAGTCACCTATGTTGCTGGCTGTATCAATAGTGCTGTCTTTTTTTACCTGCTAAGTAGTATTCCACACACATGTAAGAATCACATTTGTTTATCCATTTACCAGCTTATGGACAAATGCAGTTTCTGGTTTTAGACTGGTATGAATAGAGCTGCTATAAACATTTGCATATAGGTCTTTGTGAGGATGTATGCTTTCATTTTTACAGGATAAATTCCTAGAAGTGAGATTAATAGGCTGTGCTAGGGCCAAGTGTATAAAACAAATCAAGCATATAGAACTAATCATCCTCTGAAGTAGTATTCCATGTAGTTTAAAGGTCACACATACACAAAATTCCACATACACCCCAAACCAAAAATCCCATTCTAAGCCTTTCACATGACTCCCAATTGCATGTATTACTATTTAATAACTGCTCTGCAACAACAGTGGTTTCTCAAGCCAAGCAGATCTACCCAGGAGCTGGAACTTGGGCACTAATCCAGAGATTTCTATTCAGCTGCCCTGGGTAAGGCACAGGCATTGGTACTTTTCCCTGTTCTTTTTTATGTGCTAGATTCTCTTTTTTTATTTTGCATTTTAAAAAGCTTCAAACATACAGAAAAACAAAGGCAGTAGTGTAAGAATCCCCATTTACCTATCATCTAGAGTTAACAATATTTTACCATTTTTACTTCATTAATTTTTTTCTTACGGACGTATTTTAAGTCTTAGGCTCTACCAACTAAGCTAGCTGGACACTTCTTAGTAAATATTTTTAAAAAATGTTTTTAATGTTTATTTATTGTTTTTGAGAGAGAGAGAGAGAGACAGAGCATGAGCAGGGGAGGGGCAGAAAGAAGAGTGAGACACAGAATCCGAAGCAGGCTCCAGGCTCCAAGCTGTCATCACAGAGCCCGACACAGGGCTTGAACCCATGGACCGTGAGATCATGACCTGAGCCGAAGTCAGACACTTAACCAACTGAGTCACCCAGGCACCCCTTACTGAAGTATTTTAAAATAAAACACAAACCTCATGACATTTCACTTCAAAATAGTTAAAAATTCATCTTTAAAAATCAAGTCCATTTTCTTACATCATTACAATACCATTCTCACACCAAACCAAACAAAAAATAATTTGTTTCTACCATGTAATAGCCAACCACATCCAAATTTCCCTAATCATCAAAGTTTGTAACATGCATTAGGGATGAACCATTGATTTATAACCTGTGAAACATAATATGACTATTTTTTTCCAGTTTTTTCCACATTTAAGAACATTCATTTTCTAAAGAAATTAAAAACAATATCACAAAGCAAAGGAAGAAAGGCACTTAATAAAATTTACCTGAAAAGATCCACCTCATGAACAGTAGGTAAAATAACAGATATATGTGTGTCTGCCTGAGATAAAAGAGAAAAAATACAGAAGATATCACTAAAATTTACAGAAATTCATTTTTTAAAAATGCCTATCTTGTGATCAATAAGCCATATTGCCCTATCTTTTAAGATTCTCTTCCTCCAGGAGCAGCCACAAAGAGATTGGGCCTTAGCAATCTCTCCTAACACAGCAGAAGGTCAAGGATGACAGATTCCTTGGATAAAACATTAATTTAATAAGTCAGAGGACAGATTAATTCACAACTGCATTATACCAGTTGATATATGTACATAACAGGAAAAATTAGTTTTCCTACTGCTTTCTATTTTAATTCAATTCAAACAATAGGAGTGTTAATATACCAGTTCAAACATTTCAAATAAAAACTTCAACCGGGGTGCCTGGGTGGCTCAGTCGGTTGAGAGGCTGACTTCAGCTCGGGTCATAATCTCACAATCTGTGAGTTCGAGCCCCACTTCCGGCTCTGTGCTGACAGCTCAGAGCCTGGAGCCTGCTTCAGGTTCTGTGTCTCCCTCTCTCTCTGCCCCTCCCCTGCTCATGCTCTGTCTCTCTCTGTCTCAAAAATAAATAAAAACATTAAAAAAAAATTTAAAAAAAACCAAAAACTTCAACCCCACCCATGAACAGATGTGACTGTGGGGGAAATGAAAAGCAATCATAACTAAAGAATCCTTTGACTGAGTTTCCTAAAAACAAAAGCCTGTTGACCATTCTTCTAAGAAGGTAAGAGGTTTTATGTACTTTCCCCTAGTCCTCACAGTTACATTATAAATTGAGTTCTCCAGTGTCTGCTAGATAACAAACAAGAAAAACAATCTGAGAAACATTAGAAAGTTTATTATCAATTTATTACAAAATTATTTAATGGGATATTTCAGTAATATTCAGAAATATATCATAAACCCAAGAAGCTCTATATTTGCTAGTTTAAGAATTCTGTTAAAGAGACTATATATGCTGGATTATTCTACCACAGTACCACACTACCTGCTGAGTTAACTGCGCTATTTGAGTTGTCCCAGGCTTGTCATGACATGTGGGAATCCGTACCTTGAAGAGACAGAGAAGAAATTAACTTTGGCTATAAAAGAATGTCCTTTATATGGTCTGCGACTCCCACTACAACGAGGGATCAGAAACACTCTTACCACTAAAACAGTACACTCAGCAATGCATAAAAATCCATAAAAACAAAGTATTTATATCAGATTTTAAAACTATAGTCTTATTTATCTTTAGTCACAGAAGGTAAGTGAACCAATGTCTCCATATTCCCATACACATGGAAATCACTAACTCACTGAGAAGCAAATGTGCTGAAAAACAGAAAAAGAGCATCAACTTCATACTGCTTCCTATTTATTGTTCCATTCTTTGCTTCATTAATATACACACACCCAAACACACCCTCTCAAGCTTGCCAAATTATGGGATAAATCTCACAGGAAACCATGAGAACTCACAACCCAGAGCTAGGAGTACCACTTTGATAATCTCCCAGGGAAAAAAACAGAACACATCCTACAGAAGTAAGTACATCTAAAAACACAGCATTGCCAAAAATAAGTCCAATTTGAAAATGAACTGCAAAAGCACTACAGCACATTCATACAAAGCCTGAGAGCAAAATGCTATTTCATTTTTAAAAAAAGAAAAGAAAACTGAATAAAAGCACCATATCCTGGGATGGGCATGCTTGGTCTGACATCACACATGGAGAAATTTATTACTAAGAACCAATGGCTTTCCTAATTTCTTCCCATTTTTACTAATTCATACTTGACTCTACAAGTATTCTGCAATGCCACCCATCTCTGGAGGGCCATGGAGTTGCAGAAGTCTCAAAGGCTGCATTTACAGTCACATGTATTATACAAGAATGACACCCTTGTGTAAAACTCTAAGGATGAAATGGGACAGGTAGCCCCTGGAGTTGTGTAACTAATGGTTCTGTACAGCAGGATGAACTGTGGGATCTCTAACTCCTCACATACAAATGGCAGCAATATTGACATTGAACATTATTAGGAAGTTAAAAAGCAAAACTCATCTATGAACTTCCTAGAGTTCTCTAGGAAAGGAGACAAATGAAATAAAAGCTATTACCTTCATTACAACCCCCATAATAGGCAGGTGTAATGTCTTCCCTGGCACTGGGGCAGGCCATCGATCAACATCATTACAAGCTGAAAAAATAATACAATCTTTCCTTAGTATAAGTTCAAATTGCAAAATATGAAAAATGAAACATTAGAAATTAGAAATCCAGGGGCGCCTGTGTGGCTCAGTCAGTTGAGCATCTGACTCTTGATTTTGGCTCAAGTCATGATCCTAGGGTCGTGGGATCAAGCCCTGTATCACACTCTGCACTGAGCATGGAGCCTGCTTCAATTTCTCTCTTTCTCTTTCTCTCCCTCTGTCCCTCTCCCCACTTACGTGTTCTTGCTCTAAAATAAAATAAAAACTAAAAAAAGAAAAAATTAAAAAGGTAACAGAAAAGTAAAAGTGATGAAAATATCTTGCATTTCACCAGAAATACACCTGTGTTCTTTTTTTTTTTTTTAAGTTTATTTGTTTTATTTTGAGAGAGAGAAAGAGAGAGGGAGGGACAGAGTGAGAGGGAGAGAGAATCCCCAAGCAGGCCTCACACTGTCAGCCCAGAGCCCAACATAGGGCTTGAATTCATGAACCATGCATGAGATCATGACCTGAGCCGAAATCAAGAGTCAGACATTTAACCAACTGAGCCACCCAGGCACCCTGAAATATACCTATGTTCTAAGATACAAACTAGTTCATAAATTTTTTGAAAGGGAGTTTTCCTATTCACTCATCACTACCCAAATTAGCAACAAAAACATAACACTCAATAGAGGCCTCTGCATTGAGTGACATAAAGATTTGTTTAAACACTACTCTGAGAAGCAGAGCTGTCAACTTCATATTTGTTCATCATTAACCTAATAAATAGGCATCATCTATGCTGCAAAAGGAGATAATAAAAGATACCGTCTTTTGTGTTTGTAGGTAAAGATGAAGAATAGCTTTTCATCTCTCTCCTACCATATAGCCCTTACAATTCTTCTTTTTTAAAACAATTTTAAGAGATATTTTTTAAGTTTATTTATTTATTTTGAGAGATACAGAGAGAGAGTGGGTGAGGGGCAGAGAGAAAGGGACAGAGGATCCCAAGCAGGTTCTGTGGTGTCAGCTCAGAGCCCATCATGGGGCTCGAATTCATGAACTGTGAGATCATGACCTGAGGTGAAATCAAGAGTCAGATGCTTAATTGACTGAGCCACCCAGGTGTCCCTAGCCCTTAAAATTCTTAACTAAATTTTTTAGAAAGTCAACTTTATATTTATCAGCCATTTCCAGGAAAATTTTTAAAACTCCTTCATAAAGTATCTAAGTCACACAATATTTAACTTACCTGCTTCCAAATAAGGTTCGCTCTTTTCAAAATACTCTGGCGCTATCTGTTTGAGCACGGTATGAAAAAAATGAATGTAAGGTAGTTTGCTGATCAAAACCAAGGACTGGAGAGAAAAAAGAAACATGATTTTTTATTTTCCTGATGATTATAATTTAAATTTGTCATTTCTTATAAAATCAATTACTAACAAGCTAAATTCAGCAAAAAGTGTGGATTTTGAAAGAAAGTTTTTGCAGTAAACGGTTAAAAGAAAAACTACATAAAACTACAGTAGCAGAATGCAAGAACTTTAACCTTATTATTACACCTTAAGAGCATAAGGGCATATTCACAGATTCTCCTGCTCTCCAGGAAAAAGAATTTCCTATAAAGAGACAAATATTATGGATAATTTCCAAGGCCTCGCTACTACTGTCATTAGCAAAGCAGTTCTACCAGGAATTAGTGAGATGAACTCTTCCTAATATAGGAAGAGCAAATTGTGATGCTTTTTCAAACTAAGACCTATGATTGCTGTTATTTTAGTTTTCAATGATCATAACCATATACTTAGAAACTCTGACTTTATAGTTGGGCCAATTCAGATATGGATTATGCCAATTTTTTCATCTATTTCTCTTGAAAACTACTTTTTACCTTTCCATCCAATATCAATTAGTGGTCAAGGCACATTCTAGTTACAAAAGGTAAAGGTGTGTCCCTGTTAGCTGTAATTAAATCAGAACCAATTATTATTTTTAATGATGATTGGGATTTTTTAATTAACTAATTAATCAATTTAAGTAATTTCTACACCCAATGTGGGGCTCAAACTAACAAACCCAACATCAAGAGTTGCATGCTCTTCTGACTGAGCCAGCCAGGTGCCCCTAATTTTTTTTTAAAGAAAATAAAATGACTGTACATTTAGAATGGAAATACTAATGATTAAGATGTTGCTAAGATGTATTTACTGACTCTTAGCTGTTCAAAAAAAGATACTGCAGACTTTTATTAGTTGTAACGATATTAAAAATCATCTGTTCATTCTTTTCCTCATCCCAAAATGTGGAAATTAAGCAGATTCATTTGGCTTTTAACAATTTCATACAATATGTATAACTGTCAGGAATCTAGCACAGAGATAGCAGAAAGGCAAAATTCAATCCCAGTTAAAAATCTAGGCACAGGGGCATCTGGGTAGCTCAGTCGGTTAAGCATCCAACTCTTGATTCTCAGCTCACATCTTAATCTCAGGGTCCTGGGCATGAGACCCACTTTAAAAAAAAAAAAAAAAAAAAAAAAAAAAAAAAAAAATCTAGGGACAGGTATCTATAATCTAAAAAAACAAAAAAAAAAATGTAAGTTCTAGTATGTTTAAAGATAAAATATCAAAGACTTTAAAGACTATTCATCCTTACAGTTTCTATTTTTCTAGCCACAATATAAAAACAATTTCCCTATTAGTGCATATGAAATTTACCTTCTGGAAGTAGCCTCTTTTTAGACTTTTATCTCGAACTTGTCGGAAATACACATATCCGTAAAAATAAGCAGGATCCTTCTATGAAAGAAGTGACAAATAAAAAAATACATATTGCATTCCTTTTGTTATTATTAACATCACATTCCTTTACAAACCTGAACTGAGATATGAAATATACACAAAGATCTAGTTATGCTTTTCCACCAACACAATAATGATAGTAACTGGCAGATGTAAACTTGGAGCTTGCCCAAAGGTGAAATCATTTCAACTAGAGTACTAAAATCAGACTTTTCCCATTAAAACCTCCTCAGCTTATGTTGTTTATTCATGTCTGTACCAGTTAATGGACGTCAGGAAACAATCAAATTCTACGTTTTCTCCAATGCTACATGTATATTTTTATTTTTTTTTTAATTTTTTTTTTCAACGTTTATTTATTTTTGGGACAGAGAGAGACAGAGCATGAACGGGGGAGGGGCAGAGAGAGAGGGAGACACAGAATCGGAAACAGGCTCCAGGCTCTGAGCCATCAGCCCAGAGCCCGACGCGGGGCTCGAACTCACGGACCGCGAGATCGTGACCTGGCTGAAGTCGGACGCTTAACCGACTGCGCCACCCAGGCGCCCCTACATGTATATTTTTAAATTGTGCCTACAAGTATGAGTTAGGGGTCAGTCTTAATAAAATGAAGTATCCTAATGTAAAATTTTGAGAGAGGAAAAAAGGAGTTAAATGCCAATCTGAATGTTACATAATCAGTTCTATTTTTACCTAATAAAAATGAAACACCGAAATATTTATCAAAATATAATTTGAAAGTAAATACATTCCAAAAAACATAAGAAGTTTTTACATCCTAATGAAATATACTTTAACCCAGTTCCTAACTGATTATTATTTGCACAAATATTTATTGACCATCTACTTTGAACAAGGCATTGTGTTACAGAAGTTAAAAGATGCATCAGATATAGTTCCTTAAGACCACAATCTATGAGGGACAAAAACAAACCTCAAGGTAGGTACTATGAAGAAACCACAAAGTGTTACAGGGAGGCCAAGAGGGAAGAGATTACTTCTGTCTATGCGGATCAGTAAAGATTTCATAGAGGTAGCTGTTTTCGAATGGGGCATTGAAGGATGCATAGGAGTTAAACAAAGACAAAAACATCCCAGGTTTAGAGAGCTAGGAGTTTGAGCAAAAACAAACACACAGAGACTGAAAAATACAAGCTACCTCAGGAAAAAGCACATAGTTCAGTTTGGTTAAAATGTGGCACATGTACAGAAAGGAGATAAAGTTGGAAACTGAAAACGTAAAGGTCTTATCTTGGAAGGCCCAAAAAGTGAGGACAAGGAAATAGCACTATCATTGCCTCTTTATTCATTAAGCAACAGATAGCCATTTTGTATTTATTTTTATATAATATATACATTACTTTAGCTGACAACTCTGTATACAATATATTACATTGAAAAAAACCCAAAAGATGGGATGTCTAGGCAAAATTATTATCCTCATCAGCCCTCAATTCCCTCATTTACAAAAGAAACTCTCAGAACACTATGAGGACAGATGAGATAACACAAGCTTATTAATACAGTGCCTAGAATATAAGCACCAGTCAATAGTAACTATTATTATCAGTTGAAAGAATATGTTGATAGCGAAAGCAAAAGGTCATGGAAAGGAGTAGATGGCTATAAGACATTTCAAAGGTAATAGCTTTGCTAACTGGGAAAGGGTTCCTGTCATTACTGGAACCAGGGAGATTAACTGTAAATGCTGATTTTAGGCAAATGAGGTCATACTGGATGTGCTGATAGGACATCCAGACGGAAATGTTCCTCACACAGTCAAGAGATGTAAATATAGAATACCAAACAGAAGCCTATACTCTGAAATCATCTAAATTATTAAAATTGTTTTTAATAAATAACTGGAAAACAAAGCTCAAAAAGAGACAACTACAATTCTACCATAAAGTAGGGAATCTTCAACTCTAAGTGATATTTACTGGTATGGTACCACCCCAATTCCACATCTAAACAAAGAGGTATTAACAAATGAAAGAAAACCACCTCAACATTCTAATTGATTTCTAAAATTCACAGTGGCATTATACGTTTCAAGAACAGTAACTTCGTGAAGTTTCTTTCTTTCATATGCTGAATCCTTATGAATTAGACTCACTTAGGAAATCTAACAGTATAATATAGTAATAACACAAAAGTAAAATATTTCTGAATGCTTTAGAGGTAACTGAGTTCTAAAGTTTCCTCTCACATGGACATTTTTCTATTGCTACTTTTCCAACCTTTAAGTAAACTGGTAAATCTTTGTCATAATGATCCAGGAGACAATGCAGTGACACCCTCCTCCCAGAAGATTGTCGAAATCTAAAACAAAACTGGGTATCTCCAAGACAACCTAATGAAAACAAAAATGAAAGTAATTAAGAATAGCATAGCGTAACATTTATTTACCCAGATTCATCAAACTTTAGAGCTAATAAGGTCCTATCAACCGTTTAAACCCATTCTATCACGTTTTAGAAGAGAACAAGGAGATCCTGAGAATTCAAGTGACTTGTCCAAAGCTACCTTTGCTGGTTAGAGGCAAAGCCATTAGCAAAACATGCATCTTAACTCCTATGTCTCCTTACTATTTTCCTATTCCATTTTCCCCAAGTAATTAAAAAAAATTTTTAACTGTTTGCATGTAATGTTGACTCACAGACATAATAATGAGAAAAGGAAACCAAATGCAAAAGGACGTATACAGTTCAAATCCATTTATACAGTTTTTGTTATTTTTTTTAAAGCAGACAAAACTAAACTATAGTGTTTAGGGATGCATAATTAGGTGATAAAAGTGTAAAAAAAAGCAAGACACTTATCACTGTAAGAATCAGAATTGTGGTTGTATTTGGAGGGAGGAAGGAAACAGTGTTTAGGAGGGGACATGAGGGAATATGAGGGGGCTTTTAAGGCGCTGGCAAGTTCTATTTCTAGACCTTGTATGTGTTTTGTATTTCACAATGAGAAGTTTTTTTTAAAAAGACATATATAGCAAACTCAGGAAGAGCCCAAGTAATAGATTCACTATTTTCCTCATTTTAATTTAAAAGGTTTTTGATTAGGAACGGCTGGGTGGCTCAGTCGGTTAGGCATCCGGCTCAGGTCACAATCTCGCAGTTCGTGGGTTCGAGCTCCGCATTGGGACCTGTGCTGACAGCTGGGGGCCTAGGCCTGCATTTTGTGTCTCCCTCTCTCTCTGCCCCTCCCATGCTCATGCTCTGTCTCTCTCTCTCTCTCAAAAAATAAACATTAGAAATAAAAATAAAAATAAAATAAATAAAAGGTTTTTGATTAATAAAGTTTTTAAACATTAATCATTTCTACCAAACCTCTTAAAACATGTAAAATTTACCTAAACTATCTGGCAATAATTACAAAAAAAACCCATAAATAGTCTAAAAAGTCAAAGACATATTAAGTAGCTTATCACTGAAATTCTTCCTGGTTATTATATTTAAGAACTAATAAGATTATATTAAATATGAAATGTGCTCAAGATTTTATTATTTACTATTACACACTGAAGTACTTATATTTTCTTAGCACGTGAAGTTCTCAACAAAGGAGGTAGAAACTTGTTAATGTTTAAGTTTTTTAAAAAACAACATACCTAAATGCAGTTATAGAAACTAATGTTTCTTATTTATTTTTAATTTTTTTAATGTTTATTTATTTATTTTCAGAGAGAGAGCACACGTGGGGAAAGGGGAGGGTAAAAGGGAGAGGAAGAGAATCCCAAGCAGACTCCACGCTGTCAGCACAGAGCCCGATGTGGAGCTTGATCTCCTAAACCATGAGACCATGACCTAAGCCAAAACCAAGAGTTAGCTGCTTAACTGACTGAGCTACCCAGGCGCCCCTAGAAACTAATATTTCTTTGGTGATGAAGTGGGCAGGGGACTGGAGGATGGGTCAAGTCAATTTCTTTACTTGTTACAATAGATAGTTTAAAAATAAGGAAAACACATGAAACCTGAGATAATGGAAAACACTCCTAGCATTGTTTTAGTTCAAGAGATTTATAAATTGATGGTTCAATTTTTCCCTTTATTAGACATTTAAATATTGTGTTTTTTTTTAAAAAAGGGAAGAAAGAGCCAACAGACATGAACAGATGCTCAACATCACTCATCATAGCAAAATGCAAATCAAAACTACTATGAGATACCGTCTCATTTCCTGTCAGAATGGCTAAAATCAAAAATACAAGAAATAAGTGTTGATGAGGATGTGAAGAAAAAGGAACCTTCATGCACTGCTGGGGGGAATGCAAACTGGTACAGTCACTTTGAAAAGCAATATGGAGATGCCTCAAAAAAATTAGAAGTTGATCTACCCTGTGATCTAGTAATCACACTACTGGGTATTTAGCCAAAGAATACAAAACCTAATTCAAAAGAATATATACACCCCTATGTTTATTGCACCATTATTTACAATAGGCAAATTATGGAAGCTGTCCAAAGGTCCATCGATAGATGAGTGGATAATATATACACAATATATATACACACAATGGATTATTATTCAGCCATAAAAAAGAATGAAATTTTGCCACATGCAACAACAAAAATGGATCTAGAGAGTACAATGCTAAGTGAAAAAAGTCAGAGAAAGACAAATACCACATGACTTCACTCACATGTGGAATTTAAAAAGCAAAACAAAGGAAAAAGAGAAACACAAACCAAGAAATAGACTCAACGATAGAGAACAAACTGATGGTTGCCAGTGGGGGGTGGGTGAAATAGGTGATAGGGATTAAAAAGTGCACTTGTGATGAGCACTGAGTAACGTATAGAATTGTTTAATCACTATATTGTACACCTGAAACTAATATAACACTGTATGTTAAAACATATTTAAAAAAAAGAAAATGCCACTAAGAAGTACACATTAATTTCTCTGAGACACGTAATAGGATAGAGCAGGAAAAGATAATGGATTTTAAGAAAGAGATACGTAGCATCTGGAAAATGCAAAGAATGCTGAATTTTGTGAAAGGGAAGTAATGAAGCTCCCATAGCCTTAACTCCCTACCCATCCAGCTCCATTCTCAAATCATGGGCATGCTGTGAGAACTTTCCAGTAATCAGCTGCACCCACAAGCTATACAGAATTGGTCAGGAAGACAGTTCACCAAGTCAAAAAGCTTTAGCCATGTTATCCTTGTCAACTGAGGTAAATGGTTCCTGTTTTATGTTTCAGAGGTCTGTCCCTTCACACACTAAAGGTTACTAAAGAAATATCAACTCTTGGGGCACCTTGGGTGGCTCAGTCAGTTAAGCGTCTGACTCTTGATCTCAGCTCAGGTCTTGATTTCAGGGTCATGAGTTCAAGCCTGTGTGGGGCTGCACGCCAGGCATGAAGCCTGAGAAAGAAAGGAAGAAAGGAAGAAATATCAACTCCTTATCTTGCTAGACCTGTGTTCTCCATTCTGACCTCATCATTATGATGAGAAAGGAGACATTACAGATTGACGATCAAATTTTTTGCATTTGCTATGCAGAAAATGATACCTAGAAAGAGCAAGGAAATCCTGACACCCTACGACCTCATCAAAAATAAATCTCTACTGTTAGTATGAGCCATTCAGTTTGTCAGTGTAACAAGAGACTGCAGCTCTACACAAGCAACATAACAATTACATGTGAAAAACGGTTACATGAATGTGATCGTGGGGGAAAAGTTGGAACCTGAGGACAAAGGCACCACGATCAATGGAATCTAGTCCCAGGTCTGTCAATAATTAGTGTTCTAGAAGTCACTTAACCTAAGATTCTCAATTTCCTTGTCAACAAAAATGGTATCATAAGATACTCTCTAAAGTCACTTCTAGTGGCTATGTTCAATTATTCTAAAATAAAACCCCACAACTGACCTATAATTGTACTGAATTCCAAGCTTCCTTTACCCAACATATTCACTAAGCTCTACAAAACTCCAAAAAGACCTAAAAGTTATGCTATTTGCACCACACCTTTCTGATTATTAACATTAAAAATGAGAAAACATTTTAATGTAAATCATTTTTTCCTTATATAAACCAAGGTATAGGGATTAACTTACACAAGTTTTAAGATCAAGTGACAGCTCTCCAAGGAAAATAAACCTTAATATGGGTTCTTGATCAAGGGCAACATAAACCCTTTCCTTTGATAAAATAGCAAGTATTAAGAAAGCAGCAGATTTGCTCAGTAAAACCCCACAGCTTTAAGGTAAGTTCCAGTTTAACTAATCAAGACCATGGTTACTAGCCTAGAAAACAGAACTAATAAACCAACACTCTTTAAACCAAGAAAATTGCTGTGACCTTTCCCCACCATCCTTTTCCAAATAACTAAGTTTTTACAACAGAAATCAAACACAATCCCAGGTCAAAATTATTGTCATTATATTTTGTCACTATTTTGGAAGTGATTTTTCCCTTTCAATATATGAGTTGAACACTACTATTTAATGAGAGCTTATCCTTATCCTAATGAGAGCTTATTCCAGGCACTGTTCTAAATGCTTTAGATATATTAACTCATTTGGTCTTCATGCTTCTCAGGTACATCCCATTATCATTCCTGTTTATGAAGAGGAAACCAAGGCATAAAAAGGTCATGTAAACACCCAATAAAATAAATCTCCTAAATGGCAGAGCAAGAATTTAAATCCAAGAAATTTGACTCTGGAGCTGGTACTCCTGACCACTGCATCATACTGGCTCTTTCAAGTCAAGACCTAAAAAACACTCCTATTGATATGAAATATCCAGAGTATATAAATCCATACAGGAAGTAGACAGGTGGTTGCCTAGGACTGGTGGGGGGTGAAGTAGGTGGAAGGGAAATGGAGAATGGAGTTTCTTTCTGGGGGACAAAAGTTTTCTAGAATTGATCGTGGTGATAGTTGCACAACTCTATGGATATACTAAAAATCATTGAATTATACACTTTACGTGGGTGAATCATATCTCAATAAAACATTTTTAACGCGACTTTATTGCCAATTGGAGCAGAGATCAAAAGCTTCTTCACTCAAAAAAAAAGTCCTTCTTTGGGGCACCTGGGTAGCTCAGTCGGTTGAGCATCCGACTTTAGCTCAGGTCATGATCTCATGGTCTGTGAGTTCGAGCCCCGCGTTGGGCTCTGTGCTGACAGCTCAGTGCCTGGAGCCTGCTTTGGATTCTGTGTCTCCCCCTCTCTGCCCCTCCCCTACTCGTGCTCTGTCTCTCTCTCTCTCTGTCAAAAATTAATAAACATTAAAAAAAAAAAAAAGTCCTTTTGGGTGCCTGGCTGGTTCAATCTGCACAGTATGCAACTCTTGATGCTGGGAGTTGGGAGTTCAAGCCGCATGTTGGGT